CCTAACATGATCATAACCTTGAATCCATAATTCAAATTCAAGGTAGAGTTAAAGAGCTAAGTTTTGAGCATTCATTTGAACATTCTAAGAAAGTCCCTTTGAGCCCTTTTGAGGAGTCTTTTACAACTTCTAGTAACTTGTTTCAAGACTCAAGTAAGTGAGAATGAGAGTGAGGATAATGTATTCATGAGTCTACTCTATCACCTAGATTCTTCATATCATGAAATATAACTCTTGAATTCATAATTCACATTCAAGAGAGAGTTAATAGAAGAGTTCAAGAAAGCCTTTGAGTTCAATTGTGAATCCTCTGAGATCAACTATTGATTTGAACTAAGTTATGAGGAAATAAGTAAGAGAATGAGAATATTAGTATACATGAGTTCCATAATGTTATGTAGACCTACGAGTCAAGTCGTTCATACCCATAAATCCCGCATGAACTCCAGAAGTTAAGTATCTATGAGAGAAGTAGTATCTTCATGTCCTAAGTCTTAAGTATTGAGTTTCTAACCCATTTGAGACTATATTCCTAATCATGGGACTATTCTGTGTTACACATGAAGTCCTTAAGTTGGGTTATTCATGTCCATAAATTTCGCATGAGCCCTATAAGTCGAACAATCTTGAGACGAGAAGTATCTTTGAGTCATTGAGTTGAGTACTTCATGCTCATAAATTCCGCATGAACCCTCTGAGTTGAGCATTCTTGAAGTGAGTAGTATTATTTAAGTTCTTGAGCTCCAAGTATTGAGTTCTATTTATGGTTATTGAAAACCCTGCATTGAGTCGTTCACGTCCATAATTCAGCATGAACCATATTTTAAGAAATCTTTTACAAATGTTTTAACTTTGTTTTATGACTTAAGTTTTGAGTTCGGTAAAGAGTAAGTTGAAGTTCAGTTCTTCAAAAAGTATATGGGGACTAAGTATTCCCAAAGAGATTTAAAATGTTTTCACATTTAAATAAAGACGAAAACTAAGATTTCCAAAGAGCCTTCGGGCTTGTTTTCAGAAAAGAATAATAGCTTTCTAAATGAAGCAAGAAGGGAAACTGAGATTTCCAAGATATGCTTTGAGCTACGTTTTTTAGCACTAATCTCAAATCATAGAAAGAAGTATGTTTTTAAAACATAAAGAGCTAGTATATTTTTGGGAGTAGTATTGAGCACCGATATGGGGAAGAGTTCAGGTAACTCACAGCCTCCGTAAACCATGTAGCCACCATGGGTAGAAAAGGGTCATACTTTTTAGATGAACCCTTTTCACAAAAGACTAGTGGATCCATTTAGTAGTTCAGGTCCTATGCCCTTGGCAAGGTATAGGATGCTCTGGCAGCGTGAGGGAAATCGTTGTATCATCACAATAGCTCTTACGTGATGGTTGTCGGTTAAAGAAACTCCTACAAAAGTTATTGTATTCTTATATACACAGCTATTTGTATTTTTTACATACATTTCAAAGTTTTGTTGTATCCTTGCATATACATAGAGTTGACATCATGTTTTTAAACAGTTTGTTTCTTTATATTGCACTTGTTTTAAATTGCTTTATATTGAAATGAGTTCAGTCATATTGAGTTGAGTATCCAGAGTCGAGTATCATATCTTTGAGTTGAGTATCTAATATCTGAATTGAGTATCTTATCCTTGAGTACTTCTGAGTTGAGTAAGTTGAGTAGTTTTGAGTATCCTCGAGTACTCCTTGAGTTGAGTAAGTTTGAGAAGAGGTAAGTATGTTTCCTTTTATGAAGTTTCAAGCTTATGTTATGCTTTAGAATTCCCCTTACATTCTCGTACATTCCATGTACTAAGCCAATTGGCCTGCATCTTCTCATGATGCAGACACATGTATTCAGGATCATCAACAGGAGCTTCGTTGATACATCCAAGAGTTCGAGTTAGCTATGGTGAGCCTCCTTGCTTTCGGAGGATTTCATTTACCTTTCAGGTATATCAGTTGTTAGGATGTCGTAGGTGTTGTCCCATCTTCCATCTTTATCAGTTAGAGGCTTCATAGATAGTCATATAGTGAGAAGTCTGTATCATTTATTTTATTAAATGTTTTAAAGACTTAAATTGCATTGTATGGCGAGTTGAATATTATTTTTATATTCAGAGTTTTTCTTATTTGAGTTAAAGTTTGAATTTAAGTTTTATGAACTTTTATTTCAGTTTTTAAGCTTTGTATGTTTGAATCAGTTTTCCGCTTGTAGTCAGCCAGGATGAGGGTTCGCTTGGGGACCAGCAATGGTCTTCGAGTGTTGGCCACGTCCAGGGTGTAGGCTCGGGTCGTGACATTAGGGTTGAGCCGCCCTTGCTTTCAACTGTCCTTGTGGCTTTTTAGTGGCGTTAGGGTTGGCGGAGTTAAATTTATGATTGCTCAAATTGAAGTTTCTATCAACTGAAATTAGATTATCTATAATTTAGCATGAATTGTATCTTGCATCTGCATGGTTATGACATTTTTTACCGAAACCGCCTCACTACACGTGGATTCATGCCGCTTCATCTTTCTACATGATCCTTCAAAACTCTCTCTATCTTCTTCTCAATTTCTCAAAATAATAATGTTGAAATTTCATGGTATTTCTTTGTTTCCCTTCACTCACTTCATCTTTTCTTTTAGGTAATTGAACCCACTAAGAATATATGTCAAAATAAACATATATGACAGGTACAATTAGATACAAACAATATATTTAGTACTTAATTGAACTAATGATATAAATTTCAGAACTCAATATTCCCGTTTGGTTGTTTCTAAGTTTTTTTTATTTAAAGTTTATGTAATTATCTAAACTGATCTGTTGATTTATTTTTTCAAGGTTTCACTATGTTCAATCTCCTCTACTTTGATAAGTATATAGCTCTTTAGGGTACTGTTGTGTGGCTTCTTTGATTTGTCCATCTCTTTATTAGGTAGTTTTGTTGTTTTTGTGTATAGAACTTTTCATGTTGGTCATTCATTTTGATAGCTTTTAGTTGTGATATGTGTTGTAAAAATTAAAAATAAATTCCACAACCATACTAATTTATAGTAATTATATTTCATAAAACCAATTAACAAAATATTCATATATAGCAATACAAAAAGTTGTAGCAATGTAACATGAGAGATAAACAAATTATCAGACCTCTGATAATAATAATAATATATAAATGACCAACAAAAGGACTAGACGGCCAGAGTTACAATGGTAGCTGCCCAGACCAAGTGAACTATAACAGTAGATACACAAAACAAGATGATGATGACATGTCCTTTGCCAATACCAGCTTGTGTAAATATATGTGAACATTGTGTCTATCTATGCATAAACAATATTACAGTGAAGAATGTAAACGGTCTACTTAATCTTCCAAATTTAAATTACAAACAATTTGTACGAGCACATTGGTAAAAATGTTGGGCCCAACATAAATCTAGTTAAAAATAGAAGTGATCATTATTTGGGATTTAAAAATAGTTAAAATGCATGTCATGATATTATATGATACTTAAAATTATTTAGAGAAAATTTCAAAAATAGCAAACATAATAAAACTTTATAACTATAGTTTCGATAATTGTGTTTCATCACTATAGTTTTTTGTTGTGGAGGCTGCGATTTGTAGATTCTATTTGTTTTTTCGCTTGTGAATATACAAATAGAGTAAGTATATACAAATTAAATTCGTATTTATATATTTAGAAATTTTTTAGAATTCCGTTTGTATATTTCGCTTGTCAGTGTACAAACAAGATAGTTTATTATGAATTTTTCATAAATCGTATACAAACAGACAGAAATATACAAATTGCAGCCTCCATAGCAAACAACTATAGCTATGGAGCGCAGTCAAAAGTTTTAAATTTTAAGTATTTGAGAATAGAGATTGTTTTGTGTAGGAAACATCTTACTAGGATTAAAATGAAGAAAAGGGCAAGATAAAAGATCAACTAAAAGCATATTTCCATGTGAATGTTGAACTTTCTAACAAAAGTAAAAGTAGGAATTGGAAAAGAGAGGAGCAACCTTTCTGATAATATTAATCAGTCATGCAGGCAACTTGGCAAAATGTTCTTTCTCCTTGAACTTCTAAATTACTGCCACTCCAAATGGTTAAAACATTTATGATAACCTCATCTTTCACACAATAGTTTGACTATCTTCCTATGCACTACATCTTTCCAATTATGTTTTACATCAACTAGAATGAAAATATATAGCTACTTGAGTTTGTAGCATTTCTTGTGTCAATCTGGATATAATAATGCCGAAATCAGAATTTTCACTATGGAGTATTAAAATATAAAGAGGTAAATATAAAAAGAAGTCACATAATATCAATATGTAATACATATACATAAAAAATATTTTACCTACGATATAATTTATATATAAAGGAGTGTTGATTAACCTAGTATATATATATATATAGAGAGAGATATTTTTCCGAACATGTGTTTGAGTTAGTAATTTGACGACTTAGATTTTTATTTTCAAATTAATGTTATAATTTTCATTAATTACCACTCGCAGGCCGTAGCTTAGTTTTAGCTATAATTATGTGTGTGTATCTCCTCTCTTCCTCTCTCTCGCGACTCTCTTCTCTTACACATATACAAATTATACATATATACATACGATTATATGACAGATAAACAAATATAATTCGTCTCTCTCCACTCTTTTCCCTCTCTCGCTCACTTCTCTCATCTCTCTCTCAATCTGGCTCCCCTCTCTCCCCCCTCTAACATGTAACTACGACTCGTAATCAACAAACTAGAGCTATGAAACCTAATTAAGTTTATTTTAGTGGCTATTTGAGGAAATTTTTCCAAATTTTAAGAAAACTTGACAAAGGTGAAAACTCATTGGGGGTCCAATTAGTATAATGGGCTTTTCTATAAATTAAAAAAAAGGCCAATTTTCATATTAGAGCCCAATATCAAAGACCATAAACATTTAAACAATCAACGAAATATAATTAAAATTAAAAAAAATATCGAAAACCCCTAAACCCCTTCTCCAAGTTCCCCATAAAATCCTCTTTTTAGTTTCTTCTCTCTTCATTTTCTACCAAAAACCCTAAACTTCTCTGCTTCGTTTTGATCAGCTAAATTCATCAACTTCAAGGTCTATTTGGGTTTAAGTTTTAAGCCGATTTTGGGTAATGACGCTTTTGTGATTTTTTTTATTTTTTTTTGGTGATTTTTTCCGATTTATTTGGGTTAAACATAGACTATTGAGTATTGGAATGAATTAGATGGAATAGTTTAGCTGATTTCAAGTTTAGTTTGATATAGTGATGTAGTTGATTGATTGATTTTGCTGTTTGAAGCATTTTTTTTGGGTGTTACTTATTGAGTTGAAACTTGGTGAAATGTATTTCAGAAGATAACCCCAATTGAGTTGTATGTTTGACCCAATTTGTTGTTCCCAAGTTTAACGGTTATTGTGATTTCGGTTTTTGAAGTTGGATTATATTTTGTGAAATTTGGGATTGATTTGGGATAGTTGAATATTGCGATGATCTAGCTGAGCTGATTTCAAGTGTAATTTGGTACGTTGATGTAGTAGATTTAATTTGCTGTTTGAAGCATAATGCTACTTATTGAGTTGAAACTTCAGTTTTGGTAATTGAAATGTCTCTGACAACTCCATTTGGGTTTTATTTTTTGATACAATTTGTTAATTGAAATGTCTCTGACAACTAAATTGAAGTTTACCTGGACTTTTACATGGTCCAACAATTTCTCAAACACGTCTGTAAACAACTCTAATATTAGAACTCTAAAACTATTCAAATTTATTTAAGCTCTAGTTATATGTGACTGGCAAAACTAGATAATCAAACTTGGGATGGAAGAAGAAACAATGTCCGTGAATGTAGATTTATTAGGAGTCTAGACTCTCTAGAGAAAAATTATCTCTTGACTCACTTGATCCTTTTTTCTCAATATGAAACTGACACTCTGAAACAATAGAGTTCATTCCAACAATCTTTGTATGGAAACAAGAAGACATACTGATTCCCAAGTAATTTGTGACATTCATTAGTCATCTTACCCAAGAGTCAGTTGTATGGAAGTTAGTGAGCACTCTTCTGCATTTATTTTACGTAAAGACCGTCTTTGTTTGAAAGATATACGAACACACCACTGGATAAAACAAACAAGACACCTCAGAATTAACAAGTGGAGCTTAGGTATAAATAGCCATGTCCTATTGGAGAACCATTCAAGTCAATAAGGCAGAAGCAAAAACATTCAGTCACTCCTGCCAATGTTATGTATGCACATAAGAAAATAGAAAGGCTGCATGAAGTAGTAGCATCAAGTCAAACCATTTTACCTTTGAAGTATGGAAACCACTAACATGCGCACATAGATAAGGACTCAACTTCTGACCTCCTCGAGCGCACAACATTTCAGAAACTAATTTCAGCATGTGCACATAAAAAAGAGACCTTTAATCAATAAGATAATATTAGTTATCTATAATGTGTTTAAATTTCTAAAGTTTAAGTACAATTGTTTTCTATAATGTGTTTGTGTCTATCTAGTATTGATACTTAGCTTTAATTTTGTGATAATTTATTTGTGTACATCGAGGGTTGGCTTAGCTTTAAATTAGGTGATAATGTATTTGCTTAGCATAAGTACCAACACTAGTTGATCCTATTGATGACAAAATTAATTTTCTTGCAAAATCAATTTGTGTCCATCTAGTGTTGACACTTAGATTTAAATTTAGAAATAATATATTTGTTAAGCATAAGTACCAACACTAGTTGATCCTATTGATGACAAAATTGATTTTCTTGCAAGATCGATTTGTGTCCATCTAGTGTTGATACTAAGCTTTAATTTAGGAATAATGTGTTTGTTAGGCATAAGTACCAACACTAGTTGATCCTATTGATGACAAAATTGATTTTCTTACAAGATCGATTTGTGTCCATCTAGTGTTGATATTAAGCTTTAATTTCGGAATAATGTGTTTGTTAATCATAAGTACCCAACACTAGTTGATCCTATTGATGACAATTGATTTTCTTGCCAGATCAATTTGTGTCTATCTAGTGTTGACACTTGACTTTAAATTTAGAAATAATATATTTGTTAAGTATAAGTACCAACACTAGTTGATCCTATTGTTGACAAAATTGATTTTCTTGCAAGATCGATTTGTGTCCATCTAGTGTTGATACTAAGCTTTAATTTAGGAATAATGTGTTTGTCAGGCATACTTACCAACACTAGTTGATCCTATTGATGACAAAATTGATTTTCTCTGAGAACTTCATTTGGGTTTTATTTTTTGACACAATTTGTTATTTTGGAAGTTTTAACGGGTTATTGTGATTTTGGGTTTTGAAGTGGGATTATATTGAGTTGCTTGATGAAATAGCTGATCCCATGTTTAATTTGGTACATTGATCTAGTTGATTGATTGATTTTGTTGTTTGATGATCCCATTTTTCTCTGTTTTTCTGTTTTGGTTGAGTTGGTGTTTTGTAGGCTCTATTTGTGTGTACCTTTTGACCGTTTTCTGGTAAACTTTTAAAATGTAAAAGTGATTTACATTGAGTTGAACCTTCAGTTTAGCTAATTGAAATGTATCTCGAATTCCCAACACACCAGGCCTAAGGCTTTAGTTCAGCGGCACAAGGAATTTGTGGTAGGTGCACTTCACAAGTTTGAAACATTGTTGTTGAACCAAGTAAGATATCTTAGTGGACATGTGTGGATCAGTCAGCACATTTTCCAACATATTTTGATGCTAAAACAATGGATTTCTCTATTCTTTTTCTTTACTGAAAAAAGGAATTCCCAGTTATCCATCGAGAAGAAAGAAAAAAACAATGTGTGAATGTTTTAAATAATAGTGTCAAGGGTAAATGAAGAAATAGGTAAAAATCAATTGAATGTAGGATGCTCGGATTTGGAATATTAATGATGCATTACACAATGAGTGCTTTGCTCAGTCCTCTTATTTAGATGATATTAGATCTGCAAAAGAGCTTAAGCTTTATTTTTTTAGAAAAGAGAGGGTACATGACTTGCAAAAGGTTTGATTGCAATCTCTTAATCTAAAAGGGCTTCAACAGGAAAAAAAAAAAAAAGAGAGCATCCCTTCTACCTTTATGGGTCGTTTGGTATGAGGGATAGAAATAAATAGTCTTAAAAAAGTAGTCATGGGATTAAATTTTGTGTCTTGTTTGATTGACATGTTTGGGATAATAGTGATGGATAAGTTATCCCATAGACATGTTGGGATAGTTATCCTGGGATAAGTATTACTAGGATAATTAATCTTGTGATAACTTGTTCCCAACCAAACGACCCCTTAGAGTATATTTTCTCACATATTGGAAATCAAAGAGAAAATTCCTTCAGTAAAATGCTTAATCTCTATCTGAATTGTAGCTCTGGAAAGAAAATTCCATGCTGACCAATATGAGTGTGTCTGATTGTTTGTTTGTTTGTTAAAGCTCTTCAGACTGCACATGCAACACTCCTTTTCCATACTAGTAGGCTTTTGATTTTGTGGTAACAGAAATATGAATATTATTGGTTTATTTCAGGAGCTGGTAAAATGAATCTCAACAATGTCAAGGTTCCTAAGATGCCTGGTGGTGGTGCAACTTCTGCTTTGATCAAGCTTGGAGTTATTGCTGGTCTTGGTGTGTATGGAGTTGCCAACAGTCTCTACAATGTTGAGGGTGGGCATCGCGCCATTGTTTTCAACCGTATTGGTGGTGTCAAAAACAAGGTATTCTTGCCTTTTGTTCTTTTGGATCATGATGATGTTTAGGTGCTCTTTTACATTATCAATTAGATTGACTTTTGGTTAGCATCTGTCGCTCCAAAATTATGCCTATGTTAATTGTTATCCATGTTAAGTTGAGGAGCTTATTAGGTGGAACATGAATTAAGGTGCCTTCCACGGCCTATTCTTTTTTGCCGTTTCAATATATGGAAGGATTGCCATAGTATTTCATGGTTTTATTTTGCTCTAAACTCAAATATTTGTGTTGGATGGTTATGGCCAATCTCATTGTATGAGATTCAACCATGTTTTTTCTCTGTTTCTATGTTTGATGTGTGCGCATATTTGTGTTTTTCTTTTTAATCTCTGTTGAGTTGTTTATGAATAGGTTTATCCAGAAGGGACACACTTCATGATTCCTTGGTTTGAAAGACCAGTCATATATGATGTTCGTGCACGACCCCATCTTGTGGAGAGCACTTCGGGAAGTCGTGACCTCCAGATGGTAAATTTTTCTCTGAATACTTGTTTCCTCCCCTCCGTAAGGACTTAAAGAGAGAAAAGAAAGAAATCAAAATAGGGGAAAAGATGGTAAACATTTGTAACAATTGCAAAGTAATGAAGGACAATTTTGGTGATAGATGATATTCTGATTTTATCCTAGGGACAGAAAGCTTGAATTCTTAGAAGTAGAGGATTTAACAGTCTGTTTTGTTTTTTTTGTTTTTATTACACAGGTAAAAATTGGTCTTAGGGTGCTCACTCGTCCAGTTGCAGACCAACTACCCACAGTTTACCGTAGTCTTGGTGAAAACTATAATGAAAGGGTCCTACCTTCAATTATTCATGAAACTTTGAAGGCCGTGGTTGCCCAATACAATGCTAGCCAGCTCATCACCCAGAGAGAGGTACGTGCAAGAGGCCTGTACCATTGCACTGTTATTATAGGTCCATTGGTGCTAAAGCTTATTGGAAGCTTACGTCTTCTTTGAAGTAAGGAAAGAAATGAACTACAAATCTTCTATTTGCCACAAAGGAACTTGTTGAAATGTTAATAGATACCTTCTCAAAGACCACCGTTAATATATACCATCTCATCATTTCCTGTCTTCTGTATTTTGTGCAGAATGTTAGCAGAGAAATAAGGAAGATTTTGACAGAAAGGGCAGCCAACTTTAACATTGCTCTTGATGATGTATCCATAACAAGCCTGACATTTGGGAAAGAGTTTACTGCTGCAATTGAAGCAAAACAGGTGGCTGCTCAAGAAGCCGAGAGGGCAAAATTTGTTGTGGAAAAAGCTGAGCAAGATAAGCGAAGTGCTGTTATCAGAGCTCAGGTCAATAGAGTTCCCCTCATGACATATTTTGTTTAATTTAATCTATCGCTCCAGTTTTATCTTTTATCTGCTTCTGTGTTGTTGAAGTATCATGCATAGCTCCCACTTTATTATTGACAAACAAGAATAGTAAACTAAACTACATAAAGTCGATTTCAGCTAATAATTTTTTTTCTGTTTTATGTTGTACTGTCATATTTTTGGGGGAAGGGAGGTGGGAGCTGAGGGAACATCACGAAGCAGTAGTATTGACTTCCTATTTGTTGTTCTGCAGGGAGAAGCTAAGAGTGCTCAGCTGATTGGTCAAGCTATTGCCAACAATCCAGCATTTATCACTCTCAGGAAGATTGAAGCAGCCAGAGAAATCGCCCAGACTATTTCACACGCAGCAAACAAGGTGTACTTGAGTGCCGATGACCTGTTGCTTAACCTTCAGGACTTCAACTTGGACACTACAAGAAAGTGACTTGGATAGCGCAACTGATTGATGTTTCAACTTTCAATATTTTGTTTTCCTGCGAGCCTATTGCCCCTTTCATGTTTACATAGTGACTACTTGATAGATGGTTTTCTTAGTTATTTGAACTCTTGAACATGGAAACATTGCATGAGAAACTATTGTGAAAGTAAAGACCATTGTCTGATCTGACATGACCAAGCTTTATCAGCTTTATAAATGTATGCAATTAGTATATTGACAGTCATGTAAGATCTGTCCTTTCAAGTCCCTTATTTCTGTTGCTTCTGGGAAAAAATCTAAGACTAGCAATAAAGATACAATGAATAGATTTTGACAATCAGGTAGCATCTCTGTTTTAATTGTGATTTCAGTTACTACTGGTTGTTTCTTATGCTTAGGTTATCACATTATTGTGTTGTTATGGTATTGTTTTCTTGCATACTATGCAATGCTTCTTCTAGTATTTGTTGTCTTCCTTGCATATGTTATTTGATATGAGTTACTTGAACAGAGTTTTTTTTTTTTTGAAATATTATCTTTTTACCTTCATGAGGTGGGGGTTAGTTTTGTGTACGCTCTAATTATATAGTTGGTGAATACTCAATATACACTGATTAAAGGAAGATTAAAAAGAAAGTAATGGAAACTAATGTCTTGTAATTTATTTTTACTTGTTTGTTTGGTTTTTGACTTGGTACAAAGTTTAAAAGTGTAAAGACAACTTAATTTCACCTTATTGGTAAGAGTTCATAAATTAAATAAATTTTCACCTTATTGGTAAGAGTTTGATTTCTCATGTAGACTGAGGTAGAAGGGGGTGCGGAATTTGTTGGGAGCAAATACGGAGGAGACAATCACATGAAATGTCACTTATATAATTTATTTATTTTATTTGCTTCTATCACATAAGTTATTTTCTTTATTTCCATTCGTCTCTATTTATATGACACTCTATTTTCAAATCAGATTCAATAAGTGTGACATACTCTATATTTAGTAACAATTTAATTTTAAATTCTCAATTTACCTGTACATAAATATCTACTATTTATTTTAGAACATAAAAAATCTTTTTATTAAATAAAACATTTACCCAATCAAATATCTTTACATAAATAAAAATAAAAATAATACTAGTATTAAATATGAGGAAATTAGAATTAAAAAATGAAAAAAAATAAAATATTTTTCTCTATCCACACGCACGTCATGCTCTACGTTTTTAGATTAAGGCAAAAGTTATACATTTAAATGTTGAGAAAACAAAGTATTAATCATTTAGACAACCATTTAATATTCAGATTTAGACATCACTACTAAAAAAAACAGTGAATATCGACCTAAAAATTAACGACCTCAAATAGAAGTCGGTAATTTCCGACCTCCGGAAGTCGATATTATTAAAAAAATAAAAAATAAAAAAACTTTAGAAAACCTTTTCCCAGAAAAAATGAATTACAATAAAAAAAAATGACCTCTTGATGTCGGTATTAAATAAATCAATAAATAACAATATTTTATTTTATCTCAATTAAATATAAAAAACAAAATTGAGAAATATTTTGAATTAATTTTATTTAAATCGTCTTTCGGAGGACGGTTTTGTGTAAAATAAAAAACAAAAAAAAATGATAATACCGACTTCCGAAAGTCGGGGTAAAATTAAATAGTATGTAATTAAATTAATTTTCATTAAAATATTTATATAGTGACTTCCAGAAAATTAATAAATTAAAATTTTCAATTAACTTTAAATAAATCGTCTTCCGGTTGACAGTTTTATATAAGTTCAAAAATAAATTAATATAAAATACCGACTTTCTTATGTCAATATTATTTAATTAACATGACTACTTTTTATTTATCTTACAATTTAATGTGATACCGAACTCATGAGGTCGGTATTTTTTATTTAATCTAATTACTTTTAATAAAAGCGACATCCGGAGGTCGATTTGTTTAAAATATTCCTATTAATCATAATTTTGCTATTGTGCATAATACTAAATTTTCATTTTACGAAATAGACAATAGAACATCGTAAAGTACTATACCAAGCAAGTTCTATCAAGATTTTTACGTTCGATCTTGAATGGATGTCAAGTGTAGTGATCATACCGTAGGCAATGCCATGTAAAGGATAATTCATCAGAGTATAAACTATGTTGATTATATACTCGTCGAGTAGTTTAACAAATCAAGTCTTATATATTAATGTTTCAGATATGAAATATATTATCAATTAAAGAAATACCAATATCAATTTAAGGAGATTTATATATTAAATTTGATATTGATAAACTTCTGTTGATCGATAAAATTAAATTTATATAATTAGGAGGTATATATATATATATATTTGACCGACTTATTTGATTAAATACGTATTTTTAAAACATATTACGAGTTTTAAAATCTTAATCGATTTTGTCTAAAATTATATATTATAGTATCGCTAATTTACAAAATTATCAATTATTATTATTAAATTATTATATTTATCGATAATTAAACTCGAAATAACTACTTTATTTAAATGTTTTTAAATTTAGGTGTGTTTAATTTATATAAAAATACTTTAATATATGTAGTATTTTATTAATTGAATAACATTTCCTTAATCTCCTCTTAAATCATTTAAATCATAACCTTTTTTGTTCAATTTGTTTAATTCATAGCCCTCTTCCTATTTAATTCTATTTTATGTTCAATTATTGCCATTTATTTGCTTATTTCAATTATAGGCTTCAACACTTTCAATTATAGCCTATCTGATTCAATTCAATAACCAAAAGAACCAAAACCCTAAGCCATCCTTCTTTCTTCATCTCCTCCTCCTCTATCTCTCCCTCTCCTCTATTCTCCTAGCAGCTCAGGCGAAGCAGCGAACGGCGCCGGCCAGCGAGCAGCGAGACCCTCGCATCTCCATTCCTCTCCTCTTCGGCGAAGTTCTAGTAATCCAGGTATTTGATTAATCATCATACATACATAACAGTACGCTAAATTGAAGTTTACCTGGACTTTTACATGGTCCAACAATTTCTCAAACACGTCTGTAAACAACTCTAATATTAGAACTCTAAAACTATTCAAATTTATTTAAGCTCTAGTTATATGTGACTGGCAAAACTAGATAATCAAACTTGGGACGGAAGAAGAAACAATGTCCGTGAATGTAGATTTATTAGGAGTCTAGACTCTCTAGAGAAAAATTATCTCTCGACTCACTTGATCCTTTATCTCAATATGAAACTGACACTCTGAAACAATAGAGTTCATTCCAACAATCTTTGTATGGAAACAAGAAGACATACTGATTCCCAAGTAATTTGTGACATTCGGTTTGCGAGCTATTGCATAGGAGCGGGGGTTTTACCCTGTGCGCACCCAAAGGGTAGCGGCTGCGGGTTTCCCTTGTCATCAAAAAAAAAAAAGTAATTTGTGACATTCATCAGTCATCTTACCCAAGAGTCAGTTGTATGGAAGTTAGTGAGCACTCTTCTGCATTTATTTTACGTAAAGACCATCTTTGTTTGAAAGATATACAAACACACCACTGGATAAAACAAACAAGAATCCTCAGAATTAACAAGTGGAGCTTAGGTATAAATAGCCATGTCCTATTGGAGAACCATTCAAGTCAATAAGGCAGAAGCAAAAACATTCAGTCACTCCTGCCAATGTTATGTATTCACATAAGAAAATAGAAAGGCTGCATGAAGTAGTAGCATCAAGTCAAACCATTTTACCTTTGAAGTATGGAAACCACTAGCATGCGCACATAGATAAGGACTCAACTTCTGACCTCCTCGAGCGCACAACATTTCAGAAACTAATTTCAGCATGCTCACATAAAAAAGAGACCTTTAATCAATAAGACAGTATTAGTTATCTATAATGTGTTTAAATTTCTAAAGTTTAAGTACAATTGTTTTCTATAATGTGTTTGTGTCTATCTAGTATTGATACTTAGCTTTAATTTTGTGATAATTTATTTGTGTACATCGAGGGTTGGCTTAGCTTTAAATTAGGTGATAATGTATTTGCTTAGCATAAGTACCAACACTAGTTGATCTTATTGATGACAAAATTGATTTTCTTGCAAAATCAATTTGTGTCCATCTAGTGTTGACACTTAGATTTAAATTTAGAAATAATATATTTGTTACGCATAAGTACCAACACTAGTTGATCCTATTGATGACAAAATTGATTTTCTTGCAAGATCGATTTGTGTTCATCAAGCGTTGATGATAAGCTTTAATTTAGGAATAATGTGTTTGTTAGGCATAAGTACCAACACTAGTTGATTCTATTGATGACAAAATTGATTTTCTTACAAGATCGATTTGTGTCCATCTAGTGTTAATATTACGCTTTAATTTCGGAATAATGTGTTTTTTAAACATAAGTACCCAATACTAGTTGATCCTATTGATGACAATTGATTTTCTTGTCAGATCAATTTGTGTCTATCTAGTGTTGACACTTGGCTTTAAATTTAGAAATAATATATTTGTTAAGTATAAGTACCAACACTAGTTGATCCTATTGTTGACAAAATTGATTTTCTTGCAAGATCGATTTGTGTCCATCTAGTGTTGATACTAAGCTTTAATTTAGGAATAATGTGTTTGTCAGGCATACGTACCAACACTAGTTGATCCTATTGATGACAAAATTGATTTTCTCTGAGAACTTCACTTGGGTTTTATTTTTTGACACAATTTGTTGTTCTGTAAGTTTTAACGGGTTATTGTGATTTTGGGTTTTGAAGTGGGATTATATTGAGTTGCTTAATGAAATAGCTGATCCCATGTTTAATTTGGTACATTGATCTAGTTGATTGATTGATTTTGCTGATCCCATTTTTCTGTTTTGGTTGAGTTGGTGTTTTGTAGGCTCTATTTGTGTGTACCTTTTGACAGTTTTCTGGTGAACTTTTAAATTGTAAAAGTGATTTACATTGAGTTGAACCTTCAGTTTAGCTAATTGAAATGTATCTAGAATTCTCAACACACCAGGCCTAAGGCTTTAGTTCAACGGCACAAGGAATTTGTGGTAGGTGCACTTCACAAGTTTGAAACATTGTTGTTGAACCAAGTATGATATCTTAGTGGACATGTGTGGATCAGTCAGCACATTTTCCAACATATTTTGAT